GGTACGTAGCCAGGAATTCGGAGGCAGCTGATTTTTTGCTGCCACCACCAGCAGGCTCCTCCCAGGAAGCCCCACTATTCATATAGTTAATGTGTGTTGCCTCTTTCTGCTCGTTTTCTGTTGGATATTCTTGCTTTGTGATGGGGGGAGGGGAGTTCCTGATCTAAAATGGTTATGTCTATGATTTGGTAAAGACATCCTAGATGCCACCATGCAAACTTTTGCCAAACTTTTGGAACTTTCAGTGATTTTTTTTTTTAGCCATGGAAGATTTAACTGCTTTCTAGTTTATTTCCAAGCTGTGAGCCCACAATCTTTGTCATATTACATTGTGAACTGTACGAATAGACTCGGTTATGAATGTGACTCATTCATAGAGGAAGTCTTGTGTGTGTGTGTCTGTCTCTGTGTGTGGGATATTTGGACAAAGTTTTTACAAAAACAAAAAACCAAAAAAACCTACCCTGCTACAAAGTTAAACTGTGTAAAATACAACTATGATTTTTGATTACTGTTGTATTGCAAGCCGCCCGGAGTCCTTCGGGATCAGGCAGCATATAAATGTTATTAAAACTTAAAGTTAAACTAAAGGAATCTGGGTTTGGAAAAAAAGAGGGGGGGGGACATGCATAAAGAAATGATGCAATCTTTTTACCCATTGGGATTATAGAATTCATTATTCAATTTGTAATTTTTAAGCTTGTTCAGTGATGAGGGAGAAACAATTTAGTAATGTAATCATTAATTTGACTTCTTTCCTGATTTCTTTCCCTCCCCCAATTATAACTTTACCTTGACTTTTCACTTTACAATGACTACATAGTCATCTTTGTTTTTCTCTTGTCAGTAACTCACTGCATTTGACCATGAATTTCTTTCACACATCTTCCATATAATTTTTCTCATTTCTTTTCCTTGAAAAACACATGCTATTGCCTTTCTACTGAATGCATTAAACATATTACATCCTTGGCTTGGGAATTTGGGCATAATTGATTAAAATAATTTTAAGTAATGTTAAGGAGTACCTAAACCAAATAATATTAGTGTCCTCTGTTCCAGATACTATTATGTTTCTGTTCCATGAAAAAAGTGAATTTTAATCAGAGGATAGTAGAATATGCTATACATTAAGTGGATGAAAAATTAATTCAAGGATTTCCAATAAAGAATGCTGATTATGTTAAAGATCTGTTGGATGTGCTGCACCTACCCTCTCAAATTGCTGTTGTGCAGTGCCTCTGCTCCTGTCTCTGAATACTGTGTATGGTGCAACTCTGACTGTACTGTTGATTCCATAGGGATGTGGCATCACCTGGATGGCTGCCCCATTTGTCCATGCTCTCTTTTGCCCTATCTTGTTCGCCTCCAACATGGGCCTGCCCATGTTGGCCATGAGGTACTGTCTTCTGTTATCAACAAAAAAATTGTTTGCTCCTGGAGTTCATGTTCTGGCTAAAGATTTTTGCTCTACTTGTATTGTCTGCTTCTCCGGAGTCTGTGATGAACCTGGCTGACATACAAGCCTAACCTGCCCTTGTCACAACCTTAAAGACATGTCATTCAAAGGTTGCTGCTGTGCTTCCAAAAAAAAAAAAAATAGACTCTACATCCTTGCCACACCATGGCAACTGGTGAAGGTATTTCAACAAAAGAATTACCTGGCTCCTTGTTGGAAGGGTTCATTCCAGATCATCTTGACCATCAATACTGCTGTGAAGTGTCAACGTCTGTCCTCCTGGGTGCATGCTTTGCACAGTAAGAAAGTACCAATCCCAGACAAAGAAGCCACAACAGGGAGGCAAGTGCTAGTAACCTCTGCCCCTGCTCTCCATACAACCTACACCCAAAGCCACGCCAGCATCAAGTAACAAAAGACCACCTTCATGGAAGCCCAGTGATGATTGCCAGAAACAGCCTGCATTAGGAGCAGTCTTCTGCCTGCAGTTTTGACCAGCACAGCTTTGCTCCTCTTCAGTAGCATGCTATATTTAGTGTTGCACACACCACCATTCAAATGGTTCAGCCTGGCTAAACCGCTTTTATGTATTTGCCTTGCTCAAATGCCTTTTCATCTCAAATGAAGGATTTTGGTTTATTTCACTTACTTCCATAATTGATATAAGGTAGCTTATGTGCAGAAATTGATTTGTAAGTTTCATTTTGTGTTGTTCTTATGAACAAGAAGTGAGTATTGTGAGAACCAAGAAATATAGCCTATTGATATATTCGATTCAATAAGTCCTGTGGATAATAGAAGGCGCCAGAAGAAAGAGATATGAACCAAAGTTTTCCGCTAGGATGATTTCAAAATTTACCAGAGATATTTGTAAACCTGCTGAACTGTTGCTAACTGTGAAATACGTTTTTGCAAAATATGCACTTATATGGATTTGTTTAAAACAGGAAGAATGAAACTGTTGGAAATGAGGAATTGAAAGTAATGTTACGCAGGTGTTTACAAATAGTGAAAGTTAGTGAGATTGTGAAACATGTATGTAGTTAGAAGAACAGTATAAAGGATAGGATTCAAGATCGGCTCAGAGCTCTGATTTGTAGCAGTCCTTCTAGGACTTGCTATTTCTCATTGTCCCTCTGCATTACTATTTTAAATCAGTGTATTATTGCTATTATATCTTTTATATCCATTCATTTCTAATGTTCCAAATTATTAGAAACAATAAACTTCTGATCTTAAAGTAAGAATTTTTGCTTGTGTTGTTGCCTATGTTTCCTATTGGAATTTTCCTATGACACAGCTAATGATGAGACATCTCCAGCAACAGTGTCTTTAGGAAAACAGTGGAGTAGACTAGTGAGTTTAGTATGTAAACATAACGTTTGTCTTTACTTTATTTTAAATTCCAATTTTTTTGATATACAATATAAAAATGTTTTGAAGTTTAGTAGAAATAATATTTCATATTAGTGGTTTGATTTTAGAGACCAGTAATTTAACAGATCTTTTCTTTATGCTCAGTTTCGTTGCCTTTCATGAATATTCTGTCATGTGCCCGAAAAAAATTATATTCCTATTTAGCACTCATAAAAGTTTTATATAAGGTTGGCATAATGACATGGGGTATAAAAAGTTGAGGCTTAGGATACAAATACTGTTGTTCAGTTAAGATTATTGTGTTTATTTTAGGTTTAGAATATCTGATAAGACAACATATATTTTTTTATTATGTAGGTTGACTAGGAGATACAAAGAAGATGAATTCCCTTTTGGTCACTGCTGTCATTACTACCTTTGTTCTGGCTTTCTTCCTCCCTTCAGGTAAGTGAACCCCACAGTAAATGGAAACAGAATGATGACAATGCAGGGACCAGAAGAATAGAACAGGGAGGCAAAGGTGGCTCCTCATTCAAAGGGCTGTCTGGGTTTCAGTTTGATGGTTTGGAATTATATGGGTTATATAATAATGATAGAATAAATTATATTCCTTTGAATGACAAATTCTTGGTTTGAATTGTCTGAAACTCTCTGCTGCTTTCTGAGTTTGCTTGTTTTTATGTAGAACAGTGTTTCTCAACCTTGGCAACTTGAAGATGTCCCGACTTCAACTCTCAGAACTTCCCAGCCAGCACTGGCTGGGGAATTCTGGGAGTTGAAGTCCAGACATCTTCAAGTTGCCAAGGTTGAGAAACACTGTTGTAGATGTTTCATTACCCTAACTAAAGTAACTAACTAACTACCCCATCATCAATGCTACTAAAGAGTGCTGTTTACTGTCAGTTTATATTCTGATGTCTTGCATGTCTGTGTGGGTGGGGGTGATCTTAGAGATTCTTTGGTTGGGCTGTTTACTGATGATTCTTTGGTAGTTTCTTGATTGTGGTATTGTTTACTTGGTTTGAAGTTAACATTGGAGTTAATCTATGCCAGGGATGTCCAACGCAAGGCCTGCGGGCCAGATCCAGCCCATAGGGTGTGTAGATCTGGCCTGTGGGCCTGCCCTAGAAACAATGAAGGACCAGCTCTAGGTGCTTCTGCCAGTGAAAACGGAGCTCGGAAGGACCACATGCAGCCCTCCCAGGCTCCATTTTGGGTCATGATGGCCTCCTGCAGCCGTCTGTCAGTGAAAATGGAGCTTGGGAGGGGTAAGCACAGCCATCCCAGGCTCCATTTTTTGGCCACAAAAATGCAGCCCTCTGTCACCAAAAATGGAACTCGAAAGAGAGACACATGGCCCTCCTGGGCTCCATTTTCGGACTCAATGGCGTCCTGAAGCTCTCTGCCAGTGAAAGCGGAGCCATGTGAGGAGGCTTGATAAGTGATATCAAGCTGGCCATGTCCATTCTTGCCATGCCTACCCTGACCACCTCCCCGGCCCTCCAAAGTCAAACACAACCCTGATATGGCTCTCAGTTAAATTGAGTTTGACACTGCAGATCTATACTGCTCTGAATGCGGAATACTGGGGGAGGTTCTGGGGTCTTTTTCCCTTTTGGGCTGGTTGATGCATAGTCTATAGATGTTGTTAATGTCTATGTGTCTGTTGATGGCTGATTTGTCAGAGTGCCAGGCTTCTAGAAATTCCCTGGCATTTTTCAACTTGGCCTGGAATTTCTAGAAGGCTGGCACTTTGACAAATCAGCCATCAATAGACACATAGACTTTAACAACATCTGTAAACTATGCAAACGAGTTAATCAAGTCAAGACACCAGAATATAAACTGACAGCCAACAGCACTCCTTACAAGCATTGATGATGTGACTTAGTTAGGGTAATGAAATATCTGCAAGAAAACAATCTCAGAGAGCACCAAGGACCCCTCATTTTAACCCTGAGCTACAAATATTCTCCTTTATTGATGAAACTGTCTTTTATAAGCAGGCAAAGTCTTGAGGCAATCCTAGAGATCCAGTTTCAATGGAACTCTTGTTCTTTTTATTTTGTGTGCATCTTTGACTCCTGGCAATTATATGAACAAGTCGATGCAGATTCCATGCCAAAATTTTTGGAGATCTGTATTCTCCATGAACTCTGTCAGGAGCCAGTTGTGAAGCTGTGAATGATGGTGCAATGGTTGTAAATACATGGATTGGTGCAAAGCTGTTTTTTAACATTGTTTAAACGTTGAAATGTTGCTAAACAAAACAGTAAGAAAGGACTATTTGTAATGTGTTTTCTAACAGAGATTCTGTTTCAGAAAGGGAAATTGTGTTTAGTTTCTTTTTTTCCTTGTTTATTTAGGAAATGCTTTAGTGTGCTATAATTGTCCATATGCGAACTGTGACCAAAATACAACCTGCACATATGGACAAGATACTTGCTTAGTAGTACATTATAGTGAGTATTACTTTATCTCTTTTACATTTAATTTTTGAAGAAATATACAAATTCATTATTCTGATTTTTAGACTGATTTTAATTGTTCTGAATAGTTTAATATGCACACAATTAAGTCAGCAATAAAATATCAATATATAGTATCACTTGGAGGGAACAACCTCCTTTTGAGTCATTGTTTTACTTCTGGCAACTACCAAGACAAATTGCTGCAGTTTTCTGGACAAAGGTTTTTGGAAGTAGTTTGCCATTGCCTCCTTTGCAGGCTTAAAAAGAATGATTGGCCCTGAAAAGGTTGAAGTAATTTCCTTCTCCCCCCAAATTTTGTGAATTTAGTTGGAGCGACAACAGCAATTCTGCTGGTATTTTTTGTTTTCAACTTTTTTGTGTTCTAAGAACAGTTGGAAATATGCTACAGAAGTTACATATGTACTAGTACCGTAAGTGCTTGTTTTACTAAAACAAGTGCTTAACTATGACATAAATATTTTTAGTGGGTGGCTAATAATTCATTGCTTATTTTACTTTTTCCCTTTATTGTGGTGGCAGATCTTAATCTTATTTGATTAATTATTTGGACCAATTCAAAATCTTTAAAGCAGCTTTTTAAAAATTTCATTTTGTGATTTTATAAAGAAAAGTAGGATATAAAGAGACCAAGAATATCATCTAAGGGACTGTTGTGTTTAATTTAACAGCCTATAAAAATATTATGAAATTGCTGAACATACCTTTTCTGCCTGTATACGTATAAAACTTTTTTTTTAAATTAGGAAGATTCCAACTAACTTTTCCATTCTGTTTTTTTTTTTTAAGG